GGGTGAGTTTGGCACATTCTTACCAGCATTCTTTTCTCATATATAATGTAAAAAACAGATACTTATATTTGCAAATCATGTATCTGATAAGAGTCTAGTATCCAGACTATATAGAGTTCTTACAGTTAATAAAAAGTCCAATCATTCAGTTTTTTTGTTTGTTTGTTTATTGTTTATCCTCACCTAAGGATATATTTTCCATTGATTTTTTTAGAGAAAGTGGGAAGGAGCGGGGAGAGAGAAAGAAACATTGATGTGAGAGAGACACATTGATTGGTTGCCTCCTGTACATGCCTTGTCTGGGGGCTGGAGATCGAACCTGCAACCCAGGTGCATAACTTTGACTTGGAATGGAATCCGTGACCCTTCGGTGCTTGGGCCAACACTCTAACTGTCCAGGGCTCAAGTCATTCAATTTTAAATGGACAAATTGTCTGAATAGATATTTCTCCAAGGATGATATTTGAATGGCCAATAAACACATGAACAAATGTTCAAAATTATGTCCATTTTTATAATGGACTAGAGGCCTGTGCATGACTTTCGTGCAGGGGCGGGGGTGGGGGTTTCCCCTTAGCTCAGCCTGCACTCTCTCCAATCCGGGACCCCTTGGGGGATGTCTGATCCCAGGAATTGGGCCTAAACCTAGGCAGTCGGACATCCCTCACAATCTTGGACCGCTGGCTCCTAATCGCTCACCTGCCTGCCTGCCTGGTGGTCCCAAACTGCCCCCCCACCCCCCGAGCCGGCCTGATCGCCCCTCACTGCCTCTGTGTGCCGGACTGATTGCCCCTAACTGCCCCCCCGCCAGCCTGGTCACCCCCAACTGCCCCCTCCCTGCTGGCCTGGTCATTCCTAACTGCCCCCCTCCCCCGCCAGCCTGGTCACCCCTTAAAGCCCCCCCCCCCCCGCTGACCTGTTTGCACCCAAGTGCCCCCCCTCTGGCCTAGTCATCCCTCACTGCCCTCTCTGCCAGCCTAATCGTCCCCAACTGCCCCTCCTGCCAGCCTGGTAACCCCCAACTGCATCCTCCCACCGGCCTCCCCCCCCCCCAACTGCCCCCCCCCCAGCCTGGTCGCCTCTTACTGTCCCCCCTTGCTGGCCTGGTCACCCCCAACTCCCCCCCTCTGCTGGCCTGGTTGCTCCTAACTGACCCCCCTGCCAGCCTGGTCACCTCTTACTGCCCCCCCTGTTGACCTGGTCACCCCCAACTGCCCCTCCCTGCCAGGCTGGTTGCCCCTCACGGTCCCCCCTGCCAGCCTGGTTGCCCCACACAGCCTGCTTGTTCAGTCGTTTGGTCATCCCTCACTAACCCCCCTGCCGGCCTGGTTGTAGGCAGCCATCTTGTGGGGGTGTGAGGGTTAATTTGCATATTATCTCTTTATTATATAGGACTAGGGGCCCGGTGCACGAAATTCGTGCGGGGGGGGGGGGGGAGCGGGGAGAGTGTCCCTCAGCCCAGCCTGCCCCCTCTCACATACTGGGAGCCCTCAGGCGTTGACCCCCATCACCCTCCGATCGCCTGATCGGCCCCTTGCCCAGGCCTGATGCCTCCGCCAGAGGTGTCAGGTTTGGACAGGGGACCCCCATCTCCCCCCGATCACTGGCTCTGGCCTCCACCAAGGCCTGAGGCCTCTGGCCCAGGAATCAGGCCTGGGCAGGGGACCCCCATCTCCCTCTGATCGCTTGCTCCACCCCCCGCCCAAGCCTGACGCCTCTGACCCAGGCTTCAGGCCTGGGCAAGGGGACCCTCATATCCCCCCAATCCCCAGCTCCGCCCCCCACCCAGGCCTGATGCCTCAGCCAGAGGAGTTGACCCTCATCACCCTCCGATCACCAATCACCGGATCGGCCCCTTGACCAGGCCTGAGGCCTCCGGCAGAGGTGTCAGGCCTGGGCAGGGGACCCCCAGCTCCCCGCGATTGCAGGCTCCGCCCCTGCCCAGGCCTAACGCCTCTGGCCTAGGCGTCCGGCCCGGGCAGCGGGGACCCGCAGTGGAAGCAGCCCCGCGATCGTGGGCTCCGCTTTAGGCCCAGGCAAGGGACCCCTAGCTCCTGGGACTGCCAGCTTCGACCGTGCCCAGCTCCCATCGCTGGCTCCACCCCTACTTCCTGCTATCACTGGGCAGGGCGGCAAAGGCGCCTGATTCTCCGATCATGGCTGGGGGGCAGGGCAAAGGCGGCCCCCAGCTCTTCGCTCCCCCCTGGGTTTCCGATCACTGTCAGTGGCAGGGGGCTTCTTCCTGCTTTCCCTTTCGCCTCCCTGCATTGTGCCTACATATGCAAATTAGCCGCCATCTTGTTGGCAGTTAACTGCCAATCTTAGTTGGCAGTTAATTTGCATATAGCCCTGATTAGCCAATGAAAACGGTATCGCCGTACGCCAGTTACCATTTTTCTCTTTTATTAGTGTAGATTGTTGTGTTTTTGTCAGTTGCTAGCATTTTATGTATATTCTGGTTATAGACCCTTATTACATACACAGTTCTTAAATATTTTCTCGCAATCTATCGATTGTCTTTTCACTTTCCTATGTCCTTTCAAGGACAAACACGTTTAATTTTTATGAAGTTCAGTTTATCTATTTTTTCTTTGTTTTCTCGGCTTTGGTGTCATATCTAAGAAACTGTTGCCTACTCCAAGGTCACGAAGATTTACACCTAACACTTTTTTAGTTATAGCTCTTATATTTTGGTTTTTGATCCATTTTTAATTAATTGTGATTGGAGAACATGCTATGTACAACTGAATCCTTTCAATTTTATTGAGGCTCTTTTTTATGGCCTATCACATGGTCTATCCTGGAAAATGCTTCATATTTACCCCAGAAGAATATGTATTCCACTCTTGATGGGTGAAGTGTTCTATAGATATCTGTTAGGTTAATCCATTTTTTCTTGTTTTTATACCTAGTTGTTGTATCTATTATTGAAAGTAAAAATCTTAGATTACTATTGTTGAATTATTTATTTTAATTCTATAATTTTTTAAAAAAATATTTTTATTGATTTCAGAGAGGAAGAGAGAGGGAGAGAGATAGAAACATCAATGATGAGAGAGAACCATTGATTGGCTGCCTCCTACACACCCCCTAATGGGGATCGAGCCCACAATCCAGGTATGTGCCCCAACCAGGAATTGAACCAGGACCTCCTGGTTCATAGGTCAACGCTCAACCACCAAGCCATGCCAGCCGGGCAATTCTATAATTTTTGCTTCATGTACTTAGGGATATGTTGTGGTTATGTTTATAATTGTCATAACTTGTTAATAAATTGAATCTTTCATATTGTAAAATGTTCTTTTCACTAGAAATAATTTTTGTCTTAAAGTCTATTGTGTCTGAAATTAGTATACCCACATAGTCCTCTTTAAGATACTATTGGCGCCCTAGCTGGTTTGGTTCAGTGAATAGAGTGTAGGCCTGTGGACTGAAGGGTCCTGGGTTCGATTCCAGTCAAGGGCACATGCCTAGGTGTGGGCTCAATCCCCAGTAGGGGGTGTGCAGGATGCAGCCAATCAATGATTCTCTCTCATCATTGATGTTTCTATCTTTCCTTCCCTCTCCCTTTCTCTTTGAAATCAATAAAAATATATATTTTTTAAAAGATACTATTTGCATGGTGTATCTTTGTTTCTCCTTTTAATTTTTACCTATTTGTGTCTTTGAATCTGATGTGTGTCTCTTGTAGTCAGTATATAGTTGATCATGTTTTCTTTTTAATCTGTTCTGCCAATCACTGACTTTTGATTGGAGTGTGTAATTTGTTTATATTTGATGTAATTACTGATAAGGTAAGATTTATGTCTGCCACTTTGCTACTTTCTATATCTCATTTTTATTTGTTTATCTATTCCCCCAGTTTTTCCCTCTTATGTTAAATATTTTCTAGTATGTCATTTTAATTCTTTTGTCATTTCTGTTCATATATATACATTTTTTAATTTATTCCAGAGAGAGAGAGAGAGAGAAAGAAACATGGATGTGTGTGATAAAACACCAATCAGTTGCCTCGCAATTCCTCCCCCCTCCCCCCCCAACCACCAACACCACCATCAGGGATCAAACTCATAACTTAGGTATGTGTCCTGCCTAGGAATCAAACCCGCCGGACCTTTTAATATATGGGGCAATGCTCCAACCAACTGTGTGTGTGTGTGTGTGTATATATTGGTTTATTTTGTTTTGTTAGTGGTGCTAGGGATTATAATTAACATTGTAATTTATAACAGTCTAGGTCAGATTAATACCAATTTAATTTCACTGGTATATAAAAATTCATATATAGCTCCATTCCTTCCTCCTGCCTATGTGCTGTTATAGTTACACAAATTACATCTTTATGCATTATATACCTATCAAAACAGAATTATAATTATTAATTTTTGTGGTTGTCTTTTAAACCAGATAGGACAAAAGAAGAGCTATAAAAAAATACTTTTATGCTGTTTCCATATTTATCTATGTGACTTTCATCAGTGCTGTTTATTTTTTCATGTGGATTGTGTTGCTGTCTAAATACCTTTCATATCAATCTGAAAGACTTGTATTTCTTATATGGCAGATCTGCTAGTAACAAAATCTTTGTTTTTGTTTATCTGGAAATGTCTTCAGTTCTTCTGTTTTTGAAGGATAGTTTTGCTGGATATAGATTCCTTGGTTGAAAGTCTTGTGATTTTGTTGTTGTGTTTTCTTTTTCTTTTTAGCAGTTTGAATATGTCATCCATGCCTTCTGGTTTCCATGGTTTCTGAAGAGAAATCAGCCACCAATCTTATTGAGAGCCACTTCTATGTAATGAAATATTTCTCTCTTGCTGCTTTCAAGATTCATCATACTTGGGAAGATTTTGGTCATTTTGTGTTTAAATATTCTTTCTGCCCCTTTCTCTCTGACTTCTTGTGGCATTCCCATTAAACATATCTAATATTTTTTATAGTGTGTCACAGGTTCTTGAGACTCTATCCATTCTTTTATTTGTTTTTTTCTTTCTGTTCCTCAGACTGGTAATCTCAATTGACCTAACTTCAAGTTCACCAATTCTTTCTTCTGCCTGTTCAAATCTGCTGTGAGTTCTTCATTTCATTTATTCATTTTTTTAAATACAGCATTTCTATTTGGTTTTTATTATAACTTATATTTCTGTATTGATATTTTTATTTGGTAAAACAATCTGATATTTTCCTTAGGTTTTTAGACATTGTTTCTTTGTTCTTTGAACACTTTTATAATATTTTATTTAAGTCATTGTTGTGGTAAGGCAAATGTCTGGGGACAGTTACTGTTGACTGCTATTTTTCCTGTGTAGGGGCCATACTCATTTGTTTCTTTGGATGTTTTAAAACATTTTTATTGAACACTCGACATTTTAAATAATGTAATATAGAAGCTCTGGAAATCAGATTCTTCTTCCTTTTTCAGGATTTGTTTTTGCTGTTTGTTGTCTGTTTGTTCAGTGACATTTCTAAACTAATTCTGCAAAATCTTTGCTCAGGTTATGGCCAGCTAATGGTCAGACAGATAATTCCTTAAATGCCTGTAACCAATAAATTTCCCAGTCTTTCTGAGGGACTCTGTGTTCATTGTAGGGCACATCTTCAACACTCAGGCAATAGACAATTCCTCCTTAGCCTTCATTGCTGGTTTTCACAAAATGTCAGGATTAGCCGGAAGTGAGAGCTTAGTGCCTTCTCTGTTATTTCAGATGCATGCACACAGCCTGGACATGTCAAAACCCCTATGGAAATTTCTATCCCTAGTGTTAAAAAACAACAGCAAGAACACTTTTGATTAGCCTTTTTTGCCCACCTTAGGCAGCCACAATCTTAAACAGTTGCCTCTGATTTTTTTCCCCAATGAATGCCCCCAGTGTAAAGTTTGATTTTACTGGGTGAGCTCCAAGTCAGGTTAGTTAAAAGACATCCCTGTGAGTGGGGTCTTTCCGGGAACCAACAGGTCAATTAATGACAATTCTAGAAATGGGGCTTTGAAAGCATGCCAGTCTACCCTTCCAACTCTGATTATGGACAATTGTTTTTCCAGACTTCTATGGAGCTAAGGAGATGGGGACGGAAACGGGGCAAGTTCAAATGCCATAGAGCTCACTGTTTGTACTGAAATTTAGCCTTTTTTTTTTTTTTTTAAATAAATGCACTTTGGCTTGCTACCGAACTTTGGCCAATTTCAAGATCTCAGAAGTAGTTGGGTCTAACAGTTTTTGCCAGTGTTCACATTGCTTTATGAAGGAGAGGCTTTTCAGGTATCCTTAACCTACCATTTTCACTGGCATCACTTGAATTTATTTTTGCATATTTTAACCCATAACTATTTTTATCATTTTTCTTTTTTGAAAATATTTTTGTATTGATTTCAGAGAGGGAGAGGGAGAGAGAGATAGAAACATCAATGATGAGAGACAATCATCGATCAACTGCTTCCTACACATCCCACAGTGGGGACCGAACCCGCAACCTGGCATGTGCCTTGACCAGGAATCGAACTGTGACTTTCTGGTTCATCAATTGATGCTCAACCATTGAGCCACACAGGCTGGGCTCATTTTTCTTGTTTCTAAGATGCTCATATTATTTGAGTTTCATTAAGTACTTGTCATTGTGCTGGCACTTACCATGTTTCGAGTTTTATTTTACTTCTAACCATGCATTGTTTTATTTTACTTCTATTACAGCTGCCCCACCACTGACATTAATACTGCTACTAATAAGATAGTGTATTCTGTTACACTGTATATTTCCTAACGTGAATCATTGTTATATCAGGGAATGATGCCACTATATTGTAAGTTTTACGTAATTTTTTCTCCATAAGAAGAGCCAGACTAATGGGAATGGAAGTATAACCTTTAGCAGGAAAGGAAGAAGTTCCTCAGTTTGGCTCTGGTTGCTGTAAGAGCTTTTTGATTTTATTTTAAAAACTTAAAAAACATACCTGCAATAGAGTGCCCTCCCTAGGAAGGAAGGTACATACCATAAAAGTCAATCTATTTTTAAAGTGTACACGTTAGTAGTTTTTAGTATATTCACGGAAGTATGCAGTCATCATTACAAATTTTTAGACCATTTTCAACACTCCAAAAAGAAATCCCATCCCCATTAGCAACCATTCCAATTCCCAGGTATACAGATTTTGTGTGGTCCTTCTCATTTCTCTTACTTAAGCCCTGTAATTCTTAGTGTTACGTTTTTGTAGATGCTTGTATTAAGGTAGCAGAAATGCTGGCATTATAGTTTGGGCTTTTGCCCTCAGCATCAAAAGTATTCTTTCTGAGGTCACCATGACTTTTTTAATGCTTAATCAAACTAATGCTTTTTGATCTTTATCTTATTTGTCCCTTGTGTGGCATTTGTGTTATTGGCTACTTTTTCTTTGGTGACACTCTTGTCTCCCTTGATTACGTACTTTGAAGTCTTGCTCTCCTTGTCTCCTCTTGTCTAGTTGTTCTTTCTCAATCTACTCATCTGTTCCATCTTATTTAAATACTAGAGGTCCGGTGCACGAAATTTGTGCACAGGTAGGGTCCCTAGGCCTGGCCGGTGGTCAAGGCTGATCTGTGGGATAACCGGCAGGGTGATCGGGGGGGTGGTGGGGGCCTGCTGGCACCCGCCTTGGCCAGCCTGGCACTGCCTGCTTGCCGGCCCCATCCCCTGCTTGCACCACCTTGAGGGCGATTGGGGGGCAGAGCTGACCCACTCACCAGCTGGCCCCAACCCCCGATCGCCCCACTGCTGCCATTGGTCACCTCCATCTGCAGGGCGACCAGCAGGGCAATAGGGGGGTGGCGCTAGCGTGCTTGCCAGTTGGCCCCACCTCCTGCCACTGCCCACTCTCTGGCTGGCTCCGCCCCCTGCTGCCACCTGTTGCCTCCCTCTACAAGCTATCAGCAGGATGATATGGGGGTCCCCGCTGGTACCCACCTTGGCTGGCCTGGGGCGTGTGGGTGGGGGCAGCTCCTGCATTGAGTGTCTGCCCCCTGGTGGTCAGTGCATGTCATAGCGACCGGTCATTCTGCTGTTCGGTCAATTTGCATATTAGGATTTTATTATATAGGATGGGTATTCTCAAAGGTTCTCTCTGTAGCCTTCTCCAGTGCTGGCTAAGATCACTCTTTCATATTTTCACATATTTTGAAGTATCTTTATTTAGTTCCTATTAGCAATTTGCTGCCCCATTGGGAATTTAAGTATACTTGTTTCTTTACCTCTCTAACCACTTTAGATTTTCTTTTTAAAATTTATTTTGCATTTTTAACAACAATAAGATAGGCTTTGTAGTTATTTAGTTTGTAGGAGTTTTTTGTGTGTTAGCTAAGCTAATTCCCAGTGTTCACATTCTGTTTGTATTTCCCTTTCCTAGTCCATGTTCTTCATTGAAGACTAGCTATTGCCCATGTATATATTTGTGTATGATATACATTTTGGAACTTAAATGTTTATCTGTTTAGTCACAAATATTTTTATGATCCAGTTTTGTCTCAATTTTTTATTGAAGAAAATATTTTTAAATGCATTTCTAATTAAATCTACTTACAAAAATAGTTTTTCAGTGATACAATTTTCAAACTTATTTGTCAAGTCCTTGTAGGAACATTCCCTAGAGTGCTGCACAGCAGTGCAGTAGGGAAAGTCAGTCACTTTCTTAATGAGGAGAATAGAAAATAACTAGTGGGAGAAAGTTGAGTAAAAACTTCCTAATGATTCTTTTCAAGAACTTGAAATCCAGTACTTAAATCTTTAGTTCATGAGGGAAATTTTATTTCTTAATACTTAAGAGATAGCTTTTCATTTTAATTTAATTTAGTCCTATACTTAATTTTTATCAAAATGCTACATTTTTAAACAATATTGTCATTGAATGAAGATCTACGACCCTAGGCATAAAATTGTGTCCCTGCTTACCCCAATATGAAAATACATGGTGTCTGAGTCATGTTGGGCTGTAGGAATGTGCATGTAGCTCTCCACTAATCCCCTTTCCTTCTCCCACTCTTCAAACTGGGTATTAGTCATGTTCTCCAGTAAACGGGTCAGATGGAAAAGACACTTCTAATATCTGTGTAAAACTTTATTTAAATGTTTAAACAAGCACCTTTGTGCCCTTTTGTTTGCTTAAATAAATAAAACAAGGTAATCATTCTTATTTCTCAGTGCTTATGTAAGTTTCCCAAGTACTTGGAATATATTTTTAACTTAGATAGCATAACTGTAATTCCATTATTGCAATTCTAATTTTACAAACTAGGATATATGTTTTCTTTATTTCCTTCCATGTCTGTTATACTAGTAAAAGTTATTTGGGCCTTTGCTGTGTTTTCCTACAAAGTGTAAACCTTCGAATGTTTTGCTATCATTAATGAGTAAATGTGTGACATCGGCCGTGAGAGTGCAGAGGCATATGGGCATTAAGGTCTAAGAACTTAAGGGCTTATTGAGGAAGAAGAATATGATTTCCAGTCCTGTGCTTAAGTCAGTAAGCCTATAGAAAGGGTTGTACTCAGAATTTCAGAATAATTCTTGCAGTATTGAGACAACCATACTGTATACTATACTGGTGTATATGTTTCTGGTACTAATATATGCTCGAATTTTTACTGAGACTTTCTTTGAGATATATACCAAACCATTGTTTATGCTGATGCCTTGTTTTAAATTCGCTATGTGGAGTGGTAAGAACTTACTTCAAGTGGAATTATGTACCCATATGGGCACCTCTAGGTGCTTTATGCAACAGAAGCCACTGCCATTCTTTTGTTGTGGCACGAGCCATTAATAACTTTGTTCCCCTTTCAAATAATCTGGAAACCACCTGATATTCTCTTTCTAGATGTCCTGGAGCTTCTCATCAGAGAGTTGCCCTAGAGAGAAGGAAAACCAGTAAAACTCAGACAGAGATTGAGAATGAAAATGGAACCACTATAATAGATCTCCCAAGTACCCTATCGCCCGAAACGGACTGCTCAGGGACAGGCACAGTGCCCGCCGAACGGAACTTGACCTCTGCCTCTCTTCCTGTATGGACTGAGGAGCCTGGCCTGGACAACCCTGCCTTCGAGGAGAGCACCATTGCTGACAGTATGTGCTAGTCACCTTTCTTTTTGTTTTCAATCAGACATTTACTTCCTTCCTACTTCTCCCTCCAATTTTCTCAACATGCATTTTTTTCCTCTTAAAAGAAATAATTTTATTGAGATAGGGTGTAATTTGAACAATTGGCATTTCAGAAACAGAACATGACCTTTACCCTGGAGGAAGATGCTCCCACCCTCTTCTGTTGTAGTTCATGAATTCGATAGTCATTAACAGCTTCTTCTTGTTTGCTCCTATGTTCAGAGTTTGTTGCTTCTTGTCTAAGAAATCAAAATAATACCTTGGATTAAGTGCTTACTCTGTGTCAGGCCCTGTGCCAAGCACTTCACATAAATTAACTGATTAAGTGCTTGTTACAGTATTAAGGGATTTTTTTTTTTTAATGGTGAGAAAATTGAGTCTTGAGATTAATTGGTCAAGCTCATACTGCCAAGAAATGGCTGGATATCTGTCTCTGAGGCCACATTTGTGACTACTGCACTCTGCTGTCAGCCACTACTCTGACTGTACAACCCACTAGGAGCAAACAGAAAGCCTGTAGTCCTAGATATTGGGCATATCTCGTAGTTGGCCCTTGGTATTTACTTTTAAATATTTCCTTAAAAATTTTTCCCTTAAAATATTTTCCCTTAAAAATTTCAAATTTTACTAAACATTTCCAATTTTCCCTGCCACAGCTATAACTTTTTTCATCTCCCAAGGCTCAACACCCACCTCTTAGAGATGATGTGATTACTCTCTCAGCATCTATGGTGATTACATACCACAGAGTTAGTCTTTTCCTTAAACTGCTTTGCATGTTCACAGTTTTTAATGGTTCAGACTTTCTCTTATAGTTAGGACAAGATGACTGTCTTTTAATATTTCTTTATCTGATCATTGTGTCTTCCCTAGTGATCTGATACATAGTAGCTATTTGTTGGTTATATACTGATCACCTTTGAGAGAGGAAATGTTTAGATAATCTTAACGTATAGATATTTTTTGTCGCTATCTTTTTCTTATCCAGTGGTATTGTTAGTTATTAATCATATATTAACATAAGATGATTTATTTACCTGAAGAACATCAAAATATGAAACATTTATTTTCTTTCTTTTTTTTTTTCTCATTTTCAACTTCACAGCCACACAACAGCCACCTAGTTTACCAGAAGGTGAAATCACCACGATTGAAATTCACCGATCTAATCCTTATATTCAGTTAGGAATTAGCATTGTGGGTGGCAATGAAACACCACTGATTAACATCGTTATCCAGGAAGTCTATCGGGATGGGATAATTGCCAGAGATGGAAGGCTCCTTGCTGGAGACCAGATTCTTCAGGTATCAATTTTAATTCTGTTAATTTGTATCATTTTGTTCTTATTCATAAATTTAAAACTTGAAAAATCGTGGTACTGTGGAACCTAAATTATATGAAGGTGAGTTTTGCTGTTCTTATATGTAAAACATTAGAATTTTGTAATTTCTTCTGTTTCCCTATATACATGGAATGTATTTTTTTCTTCCTACCTTAATTTCCATCCCATATGTGTAACACATTTTACACATAAAGAAACACACTCAAACAAGTTCTATAATTGCCCTCGGTCATCCAGCTAGTACATAGCAGATCCAAGGATGCTAATTCAAGACTGTCACTAACCCTGTAATCCTAGCTGCTATTCTCTACTTAATGCTAACTGTAAGTTAATTTTAGGAATTCTGTACTTTAAAATGTCTCTAGAGTGGATTTCTTTGTAAATAATGATTGTATATCATTTTTACAATGTTAGTTTCCTTGGGAAATGTTACTTGTATTTCTATAGATGGGGTGGGGGGCAGAAGATAGTCACAGCATGGTCATAATTCTTTCTTTTTTTTTTTTTTAGGTCAACAACTATGATATTAGCAATGTGTCGCACAACTATGCCAGGGCTGTCCTTTCACAGCCCTGCAGCACCTTACAGCTCACTGTGCTTCGAGAGAGACGCTTCGGTAACCGAGTGAATAGCCATTCTGATGGGAACTCTCCACGAGAAGAGATTTTCAGTGTGGTTCTTTATAAACGAGACTATGGTGAACAGCTCGGCATCAAACTTGTACGAAGGACAGATGAGCCAGGAGTTTTTATTCTTGACCTACTGGAAGGGGGGCTTGCTGCGCAGGACGGGAGGCTCAGCAGCAATGATCGCGTGCTTGCCATCAATGGGCATGACCTGAAGCACGGAACTCCTGAGTTGGCCGCCCAGATCATTCAGGTACACTTGAGATATGCATTCCTGATGCTTGGCCTTCATTACCATATATCAGTATTTTGTTTTCATCGGCCAATAACATAAGAATTTGGGCATATTTGATATTTCATTGGAAAAATCAAGCACAGCTATTTAAATTCTTCAAATTCCACAGTGGTATAACTTCATTATAGATAGAATCTTTTCTAAGCATTGTGTCCCATGAACTTTTAGGCTGGCTTTTTATAAAGTGCAGTCTCTAAAGTTTCATTTTTCATTTGCTCCCTTGGCTCCACCTAGCACTAAGTATAACATATGGTGTTGTCCACATATAACAAATGAGAAAAGTAAGGTTCAAAGGATCTGTGATTACCGAGGTTGTGACTTACCTCATCTCTTACCTTTCTATCTTCACTTTAACATACATAAAAATAGAAAGTCGTTTTTTATTAAGAATAACTGTCATCCCTATAATGCCTTTTTTTTTTTTCCTCTTAAGGAATTTAAAGCAATTCAAACACATAACATTTCTCCTCACAGTATCCCTGTGAAAAAAGTAAGGATAGTTATCATCACAGAAAAACCATGTTTTTAGTAAGAGTATTAAACCAGATAAATTTAGAAAACTACCCAGAGAAGATTTCAGGTTCTGCAACATGCCATGGCATTTAACCCAATGTGGGTATCTCCTAAAGAGATCAGGGTGAGACAGAAGTGCCTTTTTTTTTTTTTTCCTTTAAGTAAGCCCAACAGAACACTCTAAAGCAGCGGTTCTCAACCTGTGGGTCGCGACCCCTTTGGCAGTTGAACGACCCTTTCACAGGGATCGCCTAAGACCATCCTGCATATCAGATATTTACATTACGATTCATAACAGTAGCAGCATTACAGTTATGAAGTAGCAACGAAAATAATTTTATGGTTGGGTCACAACATGAGGAACTGTATTTAAAGGGCCAGAGGTTGAGAACCACTGCTCTAAAGGAAATCAGGAATTAAAGTAGGTGGATAGTCACTAAAAAATGTGTATACTACACAGGTATATAGGTACATATTTACACAAATACTTAACGTATGCACTTACCTTATAAATTCTGAGTTTGCAACTTTTTCTTTACGTCAACAGTATGTTGTGGACTTCTTATCATAACAGTAAGTGTAGATTCACATCATGATTTTTAATACCTATGGGCATGTTGTGTTCTATAACTTATGTTTTGTTTTCAAGTTTAAGACATTTTGCTAAACTTCCTTCTGTAAAGATCAGACCATACTAATTTATACACCCAGTAACAAAGCATGCTACTTATTTATGAATCATGGGTATTGTCATTTGGGCATCCTGCATTTTAAAATACCTTGACTTTAACACAACTCTTTTGCTGTGTTTGAAACCCTGGAATATTACATGTGCAGTCTGTTTAAAGTAAGCCGAATTGCCTACTTCCATCACATGCAAAGAATTTTGTCTTTGAAGCAATCTAAGATCAATAGTTTGTTTCTGTTTAAAGTTTTGTAAACAGGGCTTTTCCAGTAAAGTTGAAATACTGATTATGAAATATTTAGTAGTTATCAGGTGTTAAGCATAATGAAAATGATCCTGTACATTGAAATGAAGTCACAAAGGGAGCGTCTCACCACTTCACACTGTGTGATCTAATAATCTGAAGTGTCAGAATTCTAAGTATGAGAATTCTAAACATTCTACTTCGTTATTTACCCTTTAGATCAAGTCCCAGCCTCTGCTTTGGAAGTTTGGCTATATATTAACTATTCTTTCAGTTATTCTAAACAACTTGTCTGAAATTATTTAGTGCAATAAAATGCTTGAATAAGAATGATTTTCATTGGTGTTTAAAGTTGGTTATCACTTATTTTCCAATTTAAGAACTAAAAATGGAGTAATTTCTTAACATTATTGACTATAGTCATGAAGGAGTTCCCCTCTTTCTACCACAATTCCTTGAAAGTAGGCTATCCTATTTTCCCAGAGAAATAATAATAAAATTGGAAATTGTGGTCATGACCAAGAGTCAACATCAAATAAATTAGTCTTGTACATTAAAAGCAAAGATAAAATAATTTAAAGTAAAAATTAAGTAACAAAGTATTTAAAAATATACTAAATATGAATCTCTGTTTAAAATACAGATATATAGATAATGGACCTCTAAATTTAAAATAATCATCATAAACCTCTAAAGTAACTTACCATAATAAACCTTAGGGACATGTGGCTGTGTCATACACATACTGTGTGTGTGTGTATATATATATATATATAGAGAGAGAGAGAGAGAGAGAGAGAGAGAGAGAGAGTCTTGTTATACAGGATCTCTATAATCATTCTTTTCAGGAATGTTCAAAAATTTGGTCCAGTTTTGACTCAAACCTATCGCAAGCAAAAACAAAGCTGTGGGTAGTTTCATTGATTATTACTTCCAAAGTAGCCACCATAAAATTTATTTCAAAAGTCACAATGGATTTTAATTAAGCTTTGAATCATTTCTTCCTTTCTATCTTCTTTGCTTTGCTGTGACCCTCTCAGTGCCAGGGCTAGTATTGAAAGGGCAAAGAAGTATTTTTAAAAAGTCATCTTACTGGTTTGGCTCAGTAGATAGAGTGTTGGCCTGTGGACTGAAGGGTCCCAGATTCGATTCCGATCAAAGGGCACCTGCCCGGGTTGTGGGCTCTATCTCCAGTAGGGGGCGTGCAGGAGGCTGCTGATCAATAATTCTCTCTCATCATTGATGTTTCTATCTTGATGTATCTTGATCATTGATGTATCTCCCTTCCTCTCTGAAATCAATAAAAAGTACATTTAAAAAATAAAATGTTACCTTACCCTTCAAGAAATCAAGGGGAGATGAGAACACAGGCAGTTTTACTGCTTTGCCTTGGTTATTTTGGAGGTGGAGTTGGGGAGGGCCTATCCAGGAGCTCTGTGTGTGTGATTCACCTGCAGAAGTTTTAAAATATTAACTCATGAAATGAACCTCCTTCTTCCCCACCACCAGGTGCTTGCATTTACTACCCAAGCAAGGCTTTGGTATAACGATCAGTGCATTGGAAATTATACTGCCTATAATTTTTTACAATGAGAAGCTTCATTAATGACTGGTGGTAATGTATGTGTGTTTCCTCCAGGCTAGTGGAGAAAGGGTCAGTTTAACAATTGCTAGACCAGGGAAACCCCAGCCTGGTAACACTATCCGAGAAGCAGGAACTCAGAGCAGCAGCCAGCACCATGCGCAGCCACTGTATTACAGCAGACCCAGCTCACATAAGGTGAGGCGTTGTGTTTGTTTGTGTTTTAATTTATCCACCCTCAAAGGATCATTGTTACAAGCTGGTAAACTTTAAATGAGGGCTGTTATTCTGTTGGAGAATGTGAACATAGGTGTTGAGAAGGTGAAATGTGCATGTTTTGCTGCCTTGGAGAGTGACTCTGTTGTCTCAGTTCTTCAGACAATAGAGATGGTTTCTTAGTGAAGAAAGGCCCTCTGCCAGGTGATTGATGAGAAGTGTTTGATCTTCCAGAAAAAATTTTCTATTTCGTCTTCCTTGAAAGTGGGCTTTATCTTGGGTTGCTCATTTAAATGCAGCAGTTGGTTGTCTGACTGAAAAAGCAAAATGAAGACAGTGATGGACAAGTCTATACTTCGCAATTGAGCAGGTTGCCTGCAACAACAGAATTAGATATGTGATTATTAAACGTATAAATCATACATTTTCATACATACTAGTATGACACTTTTTTTAATATTATAGCTTAATAGGAATACTACCCTAAATTATTTTAAATTCCCATATGTTGAGCATTTTTGCAGCTTCATTAATATTTTGCTGGTATTATAATATATTCCTAGGACATGTATATCTGTACTGAAAATTTTGATACTCTCTAACTTTAGTTCCAGAAATCACAAAAGGGTGGTACTTCACTGCATTTTTTGTATTATTTACTTCGTTGGATCCTTCACTTGAACTGAACTTCTGATTGGCCAGGATTTTTTCAACGATGACATTCACCCAACTATGTGAAAATATAAGCTAAATGTGAGGTTCAAAAGTGACTTTCCTTAAGTAAAATTAAATTGCTTTATCAAACAAAAACTTATTCATTGGTCTGCTTAAAAACCATAGAGTTGCCTGTGTGTTAAAATGGCTTCTTAATGTAAGTACAGTATTTGAGAAAGTAATTACCATTGGAATGTCACGGGTACCCTAAAAAAGTTTTGCTTAAAGACATGAATATTTTTGGCCCATCAAGTTTATCTGGTTTTCTGAGCTTAAGTATAGACTTGTCACTGATCTTTGGTTTACTTAATACGTACACAAAATTATAACCACAGTCTTTGTTCTCATTTTTGAACGAAAACCAAAATGTATGAGGGAAACCTATAATTTTGTCTTCATAATGATGACTATGAAAAAGGAGTTAGTGTTTTGAACAGGAAATTTTAATAGTAGTCGTTTCAGATAGCTTGTCCTTGTTTTACAAGATATATATTCTTAAAGAATTGTAGTATAAGCCAAAAGTTGATTATTGAATCTTTTATGTCATTGAATTCTACAATGATTTGGGATATGGATATCTGACAACATTATAATTTTAAGACATAAGACAATTTTTAAAATTGTGTTTAATTATTTCAGCATTCATATAGATAACTGATTCATTTTGTTTGGAGTACATATATTTTTCTCTTTTAACTCTGCTAATTCTTATTCTCCTTAATTTTATGTCACAGTGTTTTACATAGTAATGCTGAATTTATTCTTATTCTAGGTACTCTGCAAACCTGTTAGTTGGAACAACCACATGAAATGTACTTTTAAGAGTTAATTTAGCTATTTACTCTTGCACTTGTTATGTCAAATCTGATATAGGAAAACAAAGGTCCCCTAGGGAAAGCCAAAACACAAATTCACAAAACAACGTGTTCAGGCGATTATAATCGTTAAAAATTAAAATATATATTAGTTTACTAATAAGCTTCTATGTAGCTGCTTGGATAAACATTCATGTGGTGTTGAACCCTGAGAAGTTTCCTTAAAGCTTATCCAGTATAATCATTTACGTTGTTAGGTTTTGTTCCTGAGGAAAAAAAATGCATACATCTCAGCTGGCAGAGGAATAGAATCCCTACCCTTAAATAATGAAATACCTGAGAGCTGAAACGCTTAAGTATATCCTCAAGGCTAGGTTTACATGACTTGTCCTCATAATAAAATGGTTTTGCCCCATTTTGAAGGATACTAACATAGATTTCATACCTTTAGATAGGAGACCACCTTAAGACATTTACAAGTTTTCTGCTAGGTTATAACTACTTCTAGGAATGCTCTCCTCTTATTACAAATAGTTCTCTTGATAAAAATTTCAGGAATGCAGGGGTCCAGGCCAGAGAAGACACATGGCCTGGAATTCTAGGACCTGGTTAACAGATACGTGTATGTCAACTCTTTGAATTTATGTCACTAAAGGAAATGTTAAAATTTTGTTAAAATATAATTCATATATTTCCATTGTTGACATTGTTAGTAACATTAATATAATCTTGTACTATCAACTTTTCTTTCAAAGAATAGGGTAGAAAGATGGAAGAAAAGTTAATTGGCTCATATTCAGAATCTTAAAACTCAGGCACATTATTTACTTTTATAGAATTGATCATATCTTGGATTTTAAGGTAACCATATAAATGATGTGCTTATTTTACTTTAACCTCCATATGCCAATAGTCCTAAGTTGTTTTAGTTCCATAGTCGTACGAAAAAATGGTAATCCAAAGTTTGACATTGTGATCCACAGTGATCAGTGTATTGTTTGTACCTATGAGGAACGGTGTATTACTTTCAGTTCTATACTGAGTGATAAAAAAAATTACTTACAGTTACACATAAGTTTGTACATTAGTTTAAGCTGTCCTTGTTTTATATTATTCATTCCAATAAATATATTCCACAAAATTTTCCTCTCATGATTTAGGATCTTACCCAGTGTGTTACATGCCAAGAAAAACACATTACTGTAAAGAAGGAACCTCATGAATCCCTTGGGATGACAGTAGCTGGGGGCAGAGGAAGTAAGAGTGGTGAACTGCCCATCTTTGTGACCAGTGTACCACCTCATGGCTGCCTTGCACGCGATGGCAGAATCAAGAGAGGTAAGATAGGTTTTTCAATAATGTCAATAATGTCACCGAATCTCCCTGAATTCAACCTCGTACATAAGAAATATGTACAAAGTTTTCTTTTAAACATGACTTTTTTAATTCTTTAAAATGTCCCTTGCATATGTAAGCATAAAGCCTCTTTATAAGGTTAGAAAAATGCCTACTGTAAAGGGAAGTTGCCAAAGCTTGGTATTTTCTAACAGTTATGGAGACTGTTGGACTGTTTTATACTAGAAAAGACTCTAAGAAATTTATGTTTCCTACATGATGGCAGGCTAGATACAAATATAAATGTCTCCAAAATACAAATGTTGCTTATACTAAAGTGGGAGGGGTTCACAGAGGACATGGAGCAGAAGACAAACTTTAAAATATAGTGGGTTTGGGGATTAACACATTTAGAAGTTCACGTTCCACATCAATACTATATTATTTGTGTACGTGGGAGTGGTAGTGGTAAAAACAGCATTCTTCATACACTTGGTTTATTCATGTGGAAAAGTGAGTCTTAAAAGCTATTTTTTCGAGAGTGAAGTTGGAATCCTACCTCAAGCCACATACAAGAATTAACTTATTATGGATCCAAGACCTAAATGTAAGATCTACAACATTCAGAGGAAAACTCATGACCTGGGATTAGGTGGTGGTTTTCTTAGATATGACACCAAAAATACAAGCAACAATAACAAAATAGATAATTGACTTCATCAAAATTGCAAATTTGATGATGAATCCACACCACCAAGAAAGTAAAAAGATAACCCACAGTATGGGAGAAAATATTTATAAATTGTATATCTGATGAAGGACTTGTATCTAGAGTACATAAAGAACTCTTACAACTCAATACATAAAAAGGTAAAAACCCAATTGAAAAACGAGCAAAGGATCTGAATAGACATTTCTCCAAAGGAGATATACAGGTGGCCAGTAATCCCAGGAAAAGATGCACAGTGTCATTGGTTATTAGGGAAATGCAAATCAAAGCCACTTCACACTCACAAGGATGAATATAATAAAAAAGACAGGCAATAGCAAACATTGGCAAGGATTTGGAAAAATTGAAACCTTCAGACATTGCCAGTGGGAATGTAAAATGGTGCAACTGTTTTTGGAAAACAGTTTAGCAGTTCCTCAAAAAAGTTAAACATAGTGTTACCATGATCTGTAACAATTCTGTTCCTGGAGAAATGGAAATATGTGGCCACACAAAAACTTGTACATGAAGTTTCATAGCCCTATTTTTCATAATAACCAAAAAGTAGAAGCAACCCAAATATCCGTCAGTTAACGAGTGGATTAACATAATGTGGTATATCCATACAATGGAATGCTATTTGACTATAATAAGGAATGAAGCATTGACACAAGCTACAGTATAGGTCAGCGGTTCTCAACCTGTGGGTTGCGACCCCTTTGGGGGTCGAACGACCCTTTCACAGGGGTCGCCTAAATACATCCTTCATATCAGATATTTACATTACGATTCATAACAGTAGCAAAATTACAGTTATGAAGTAGCAACGAAAATAATTTTATGGTTGGGGGGCACCACAACATGAGGAACTGTATTAAAGGGTCGCGGCATTGCCCTGACTGGTTTGGCTCAGTGGATGGAGTGTCAGCCTGCGGACTGAAGGGTCCCGGGTTCGATTCCAGTTGGGGGCATGTACCTTGGTTGCGGGCACATCCCCAGTAGCGGGTGTGCAGGAGGCAGCTGATCAATGTTTCTCTCTCATCAGTGTTTCTAGCTCTCTGTCCCTCTTCCTTCCTCTCTGTAAAAAATCAATAAAATATATTTAAAAAAATAAAAATAAAATAAAGGGTCGCGGCATTAGGAAGGTTGAGAATCACTGGTATAGGTGAATCTTGAAAACATTATGCCTATTGAAAGAAGAAGCCAGTCACAAAAGACCACATGTGGTTCTATTTATATGGCATGCCCAGATGGGAAGATCTATAGAGATAGAAAGTAGATAAGTGATTACTTAGGCCTGGGGGAAGAAAAGTGACTGTTAATGGGTACATGTTTTTTGGGGGTTGATCTTAAAATGATGGGTGATGGTTCTACAATTCTGTGACTATACTAAAAACCATAAAATTGTAACTTTGAATGAATTGAATGTTATATGAATAATATCTTTAATTTTTTAATTTATTTTTTAAATTAAATCTTTATTGTTCAGATTATTACATTTGTTCCTCTTTATTCCCCCCATAACTCCCCTCCACCCAGTTCCCACTCCACCCTCCGCCCTCACTCCCCACCCACTGTCCTCATCCATAGGTGCACGATTTTTGTCCAGTCTCTTCCGCATCCCCCACACCCCTTTCCCCCACAAGAATAGTCAGTCCATTCCCTTTCTATGCCCCTGATTCTATTATAATCACCAGTTCATTCTGTTCATCAGATTTATTCACTTGATTTTTAGATTCACTTGTTGATAGGTGTGTATTTGTTGTTCATAATTTGTATCTTTACCTTTTTTTTCTTCTTCCTCTTCTTACAGGATACCTTTCAGCATTTCATATAATACTGGTTTGGTGGTGATGAACTCCTTTAGCTTTTCCTTATCTGTGAAGCTCTTTATCTGACCTTCAATTCTGAATGATAGCTTTGCTGGATAAAGTAATCTTGGTTGTAGGTTCTTGGCATTCATCACTTTGAATATTTCTTGCCACTCCCTTCTGGCCTGCAAAGTTTCTGTTGAGAAACCAGCTGACAGTCGTATGGGTATTCCCTTGTAGGTAACTGAGTTTCTTTCTCTTGCTGCTTTTAAGATTCTCTCTTTGTCTTTTGCTCTTGGCATTTTAATTATGATGTGTCTTGGTGTGGTCCTCTTTGGATTCCTTTTGTTTGGGGTTCTCTGCACTTCCTGGACTTGTAAGTCTATTTCTTTCACCAGGTAGGGGAAGTTTTCTGTCATTATTTCTTCAAATAGGTTTTCAATATCTTGCTCTCTCTCATCTTCTGGCACCCCTATAATTCGGATGTTGGTATGCTTGAAGCTGTCCCAGAGGCTCCTTACACTATCTTCGTATTTTCTGATTCTTTTTTCATTTTGCCTTTCTGGTTGGGTGTTTTTTGCTTCTTCGTATTTCAAATCGTTGACTTGATTCTTGCAATCCTCTAGTCTGCTGTTGGGAGTCTGTATAATATTCTTTATTTCAGTCAGTGTATGCTTAATTTCCAGTTGGTCCTTTATCATAACATCGAGGGTCTGACTAGATTTCTTGAGGATCTCACTACATTTATCGGCAGTCTCACCAGTCTTTTCGAGGGTCTTACTAAATTTATTGGCGGCTTCTAGAAAGTTCTTGAAAAACCTTAAAAGTGTGGTTTTGAACTCTATATCCAGTAGTTTGCTTTCCTCCATTTCTGTCATTTGTGTCCTTTTTCTTTGTCTCCACACTTTTTATGCTTCCCTGTGTTGATAAAGTGGTTTTCTGTGCTGAGTGTCCTCTAGGGCCCTGTGGTTCAGCCCCAATTACCTGAGGTGGACACTCTTGGTGCACCCCTTTGTGGGCTTTGTGCACAGTCTTGTAGTTAAGCCTTGATTGTTGTAGTTAACACTGGGAGGGAATGACCTCCAGGCCAATTGGCTGTGAGAATCAGCTGTGTCTGCAGTGGAGAACTTCTGTGCTGGAGACACCACTCTGGGGCAAGACTTGTTTCAATGGGGCTTTGGTGCTCACTGGGTCTGCCCGCTGAGTGTGTCCTTTAAGGGTCTGAGAAGCTGCAAACTGGATGGTCCCACTCTGACCGCTGGGCACACTCGCTCCTGGATCTCTAGGGAGGTGCTAATCTTGCCTTTGCCTGAGGCTACCCAGGTAAAGCCTCCCTGCAGGGCTTGGGAGGGGCGGGTCCCACGGGATCAACAGGGCAGAGCTAGCAGTTATGGCTGCTCTCAGTCCTGCCCTCAGAGGCTCTGTTTCTCAGTGTCCCAGTAATCGCTGCAAGCACCTCTGAGAGAAAGCTGCCCTCGAGTTCCGACCACTGCCAGACAGTCCCGCTTCTCCCGTATGAGTCTGGGTCCCCAAAGACTCGTCCGGAACTGGAGCTCAGAGCCTGAAACTCCCTCCCGATTGAAAACGACAACCGTGCCCTCAGCCGCCAGCCTGCTCCGCGTGCGCCTCTGTACCTTAGTATTTTACTTCCACACCGCACCTCCTCTGAGTCTCTGTATGCTTTTCTCTTTCCTTCTAGTTGTAGAACTTCCACTCAGCCAGCCTTCCTGTGGTTCTGGATGATGTCCGTTCCGTCTTTTAGTTGTATTTTTGAAGTGGTTGTGTGAGGCAGCAAACTCCCATGTTTACCTATGCCGCCATGTTGGTTTCTCCTGAATAATATCTTTAAAAGGCGTGCCAAAACTGGTTTGGCTCAGTGGATAGAGCGTCGGCCTGTGGACTGAAAGGTCCCAGGTTCGATTCCGGTCAAGGGCATGTACCTGGGTTGCGGGCACATCCCCAGTAGGAGATGTGCAGGAGGCAGCTGATCGATGTTTCTCTCTCATCGATGTTTCTAACTCTCTATCTCTCTCCCTTCCTCTCTGTATAAAATCAATAAAATATATTAAAAAAATAAAAAATAAAAAAAAATGAAAGGCTGCTAATTTTTACAAGTATTTGTCCAGTTATAGAATTAGGGATAATTTTATTTCGTTTTTATTATTTATTATGTTTTCTAAATTTTCTACAATGAAAATGTTTTGCTTTAACAATCTGAATAATAGATGAATTGGGAGAGGAGGTTTTCTGTAGGTTTCTTCATACGAGTGTGTGTGCTTCCTACAGAAGTAATCTTTTTCTTCCTAGCCTTTTATTTAATCCTCATTGCCCTTTTTATCATATTACTTGACAGAAGAATAAATATTTCTTTTCTCCCTCAAGGAAGAGAGATGTTCAAATCACTAGTTTCATTTCTTTGTGTAGGCCCAAGAATATCCTCTCTCTACATATTCTGATCTGTTTGCACTGAGTGAACTATGTGGGGCTGTCTTTAAGTATAAAACTGTGTAAAACATAGAATATTGAAATTCATGTCTAAGTTAGCAAAGTGTCAAATAATTTTTGAATTGGAAAGAACAGGAGAAATCATTGAAGCTCAAAGAAGAGAACTGAATGTGCAAGGGCCTGTACCCAGCTACACCTATGACATGCCAGGGCCAAGGATTTGGACTTCCAGTGGAATCGAAGTGCCTCAAGCCACACTTTTCCCTATGTACTATGAAATTATTTTAAATTTTTGAATTGTTTTGGAATTATTTTCATGAGTTGCATTTTTTCTCAGTAGTATAAAAATTACAAAGAAGAAATAAAAGGTCTTTTACCTTAAATCATCTGAGTCATTGAAACTAACTTTTGTTGATTAGCTTACCAGTAGAAGAATTTACAGGGAGATAATCACTTGGTATCTCAGCTCATTTTTTTTTTTTTTTGTCTTGTCATTTGAACAGGTGATGTGTTGTTGAATATCAATGGCATTGATTTGACCAATTTAAGTCACAGTGAGGCTGTTGCTATGCTGAAAGCCAGTGCTGCATCCCCTGCTGTTGCCCTTAAAGCACTTGAGGTCCAGGTTGTTGAGGAGGCCACCCAGGCCACGGATGAGCAGCCAAGCACTTTCAGTGAAAATGAGTATGATGCCAGTTGGTCCCCATCGTGGATCATGTGGCTTGGGCTTCCCAGGTACTGACAGCTTTTTTGTTGCTTTATGAAATAATCATAATTACAACTTTCATTAGTCTGTAACCCAGTAAATTTTAGATAAAAGTAGCAACATCAAGTCAAGTTACAAAAGAAAATGGTAATTTTTCTTAGCTTATTATATTTAAAAGGTAAATGTAATAATAAGAACTAAGCTAGAAAGATGTCTGTTTATACAAATTAATAAAGCCATTTGTCTGTTTCTGTTAAGGCTCATAAGTGGGCGGGCCATGAGAGGGGATGTTCAGTCTCTTGTTCAGGAAAGCTGTCATTATCAAGGTTCATTCTGATACATGCTTAGCCTTCATGTTCATGGGGTCAAAGTGGGAGCCTTGTCCTATCCCAGAAGGCTTTCTAAAAGCCCTTTGTTCTTAATGCTTTTAACTTTCCTAAAATGGCTGGGTATAAAACTCAGTTTTTATTGGACATAGAGTCTTAAGTCCAATGATTGGTATTCAAGCGTAGGTGCTCCTAACCATGTCTCTGAAGAATTCACTGCTTCATGACTGACTGACTAGCCAAGGGGTTCTGAACTTGGTCAGCGTCCGGTCATGGAAACACTTGGAACCTCCAGGTGATTATTGCATAGTTTAATATTGAGGTAGGAAGAATGTGTTCGTATCTTTGTTTCCAAATCAGCTTAGATTCTTAACATATAAAAGACTCCTAAAACCAAACTATGATGAAACATTTTGACTGTTAACAAAGTATGAAAATTACTCATTTATAATAAAAATAAAGGATAAGAATGTGCCAATTTCTGAGCTATCTAGCTTCATTTGGAATAAATTGGTAATAACTAGAATTTGTATAGCACTCTGGTTTATAAAGTACTTTCACAGAAAGAACAATCAAGAAACAAGGATATTATTGGGTATTATTAGATTATCCAATCAGATTATTAGGTTATTTGTTTATAATCTAACTTGCTGATTTGTCTTCTTGGTTAAAAACAAACAAACAAAAAGGCTGCCAGGTCATTGTGGCTCAGTGATTGAGTATCGACCTATGAACCAGGAGGTCCCAGTTCAATTCCTGGTCAGGGTGCAGGCACAGGTTGCGGGCCAGATCCCCAGTGGGGAGCGTGCTGGAGGCAGCCAGTCAGTGATTCTGTCTGATCATTGATGTTTCTGTCTCTCCCTCTCCCTTCCTCTCTGAAATCAATAAAAACAAACAAACATAAAACAACAACAAAGAGGCCTAAAATTATAACAGAATTCATGTCTCAGGGACCTGTAGGGACCTTGTATGTGGAACTTGTGGAGAGAGATTTTTTTATGACAGATGATTTAGCTACTAGGTATCTATTTATTCCATGCACCAAAATTGAAATAGGAGATTTTTGTTACTATTTTCCATATTTGAGTTTCCTATTTTGTCAACTAGAGTCTCTCTTAAAATGGAAGCATATTAAGTGAAGAAGGAAAATACGACAAATTCTAACTCCTTGTGTAGATTAAAAAGAGGGATAGTGATCTTACATTTTTTAGGAATCTCATTTTCTTTCAATTGAGTGCTGAAGTCAGCAGTACTAGACCCTCATCCACTTTTTTTGTTATTTTGTTTTTGTTAATCCTCACCCAATGATATTTTTTCCATTTATTTTTTAGAGAGAGTGGAAGGGATAGGAGGAGACGGGGAAAAGAGAGAGAAACATCAGTTGGTTATCTCCCGTACATGCCCCAGCCAAGGCCAAGGATAGAATCTGCAACCCAGGTATCAAACCTGGGACCATTCAGACTATGGGCCGATGCTCTAACCTCCAGCCACCCCAGCCAAGCGTACCACCATACAAATTTTGAAGGTACCAATAGAATGGAGGACCTGTTGACAGTACAGTGAGAAAATATAGGTTTAAAACCATTTTATACAATTTCTGAGGTGTAACTTATAACCAACTTTATTTAAATTCTGTGTGTGTGTGTGTGTGTGTGTGTGTGTGTGTGTGTGTGTTATTCACTGGGAAGAGAAGACTGAAAAAAGTGAAAGAAATTCAAGTCTACATAGAACTGCATCTGTGCTGGAAAGTGGGTGGTCAGAATAATACATTCAGAAGAAAATAAAGTAGCCCTTTTTCTTTTCCCAGTGATGGAAAGTATAACATGGTGTGCAGTTATAACAAAGATGAGCAGGCTGTAATTGCCTCCATTAATTGTTTCCTGATGTCTGTATTTGTTTATAGTTCCCTTCATAGCTGCCATGATATAGTTTTACGAAGAAGCTACTTGGGAAGTTGGGGCTTTAGTATTGTTGGTGGATATGAAGAGAACCACACCAATCAGCCTTTCTTCATTAAAACCATTGTCTTGGGAACTCCTGCTTATTATGATGGAAGATTAAAGTGAGTCTTGTTATTTACTGATGTGATTCATGTTTGTTGTGATGGACATGATCTAGACCAGGGATCAGCTCCAAATGCAGCTATCTGGTTTTGTAAATAAAGTTTTATAGGAACATGGCCATGCTCACTTGTTTGCATGTTGTGTGTCACTGCTTTTGAGCTACAGTGGCAGAGTTGATTCCTTGTGACAGAGACCATATGATTGGCAAAGCCTAAAATATTTGTTTACCATCTGGCCCTTTATAGGAAAATATTGTCAAACCTGATGTAGACGAAGCATTACCTTTACAATCTTGCTACTCATAGCTGTATTTTGCTAATCTGATGACAGGCCTGAACATGAGTCATTGCACTGCACATACTGTGATGTGACTAGCTCTGAGCAGTTTTGCCACACAATTCACTCAGGTCTAGTCCTGTCATTAGATGCCTCTGCTTTATTTTTCTCCTCAGCACTTATGTCTGCCTAACAATATATTTATGCAAGCTCCACACAGGGAGGGGAGAGGGGACTTTGTTATATTTACGTCCCTGGTAGCCAAAGCAGTGCCTTGCATATGTAGTAAGGGCTCAACAAATATTTAATGAAGGAGTATGTGATAGTTGACAGTGTACCAGGCACAGTGCTAGGTGCTTGGGATTGATTGGATTATTGAATCCTCTTAACCCTAGGAGGTGTTGTAATTCCCATTTATAAACAAGGCAGCTAAGGCTTAGGAAGGTTAAGAAGCTTGCCCACAATCAAACAGCTGAAAGTGGTTGACTGCAACTCAAACCCAGACTACCTGGCTCCAGAGCCTTTCCTACCCAGCCGTGGGCAAACCACGGCCCGCGGGCGTTTGAAATGAAAAAAACTAAAAAAAAAAAAGACCGGACCCTTTTATGTAATGATGTTTACTTTGAATTTATATTAGTTCACACAAACACTCCATCCATGCTTTTGTTCCGGCCCTCCGGTCCAGTTTAAGAACCCATTGTGGCCCTCCGGTCCAGTTTAAGAACCCATTGTGGCCCTCGAGTCAAAAAGTTTGCCCACCCCTGCACTAACCCTCAGCCAGTTGTCACCCCTGGGCAGAAGGTACTTGCTAGGCTCCCTGCAGCCTTCTTTTCTTTTTCAAAACTCAGGTGCTGGGAAAAGAATAAGGTGTTATATCAAGAGATTATACAAACAGAGAGGCGGTGGGTGATTGTAAGTTCTTAGTGCCTAGTTTTTGATGAAAAAACCAATTTGCAAAAATTAAATTTGACATTGTAGACAGAATTGAGCACAAACAGAGAGATTACAGTGCTTGCAAACAGAAAGTTACATCAAAATAATATTGTGAAAAGTTGATCAGGGTTGATATGCTCCAAATCAGTCTTTTATCAGGTTATTTTATACAATGGAAAGCATTATTTTATAAGGAAAGAGTAGGGGGAAATGAATTAGCCATTCTCTTAGCTAAATTAACCAGGTTGAGTCTCGGTTAGTTTATAATTTGCATTCCACCTACTTCCAAAAAGAAGTTGAGATAACTAACAATAAAATAGTATGTTCATATTACAAATTAGAGACCAAAAATCATAAAAGATTTATTCGCCTAATTATATTTTGCCTTATGCTTACATGAAAATCATTCTTCTTGTCCTTGAAATCACCCGCTAGTTAAAGGAGAGAGGGTGGCAGAGGGTAGCCATGGAAAAGCAACATAGACTTAAAAATTCACCCCAGATGTTTCTCACAGTAGATAATACACTCTAATCATTGACAGTTAATGGTTAAGTTAAACTGATTTTTATGCTAAAAAAATCTCAAGGTAATCAATGTTTCTCCCTCTCCCTTCCTCTCTCTCAAATCAGTAAAGACATATTTTTTAATGGTTTTAATACCAGGAAAATCATGACAGTCTGTTTCTGTTTCTCTGTCTTTGTCCAGATGTGGAGACATGATCGTGGCCGTGAACGGCCTGTCAACTGTGGGCATGAGCCATTCCGCATTAGTTCCCATGTTGAAGGAGCAGAGGAACAAAGTCACTCTCACGGTTATTTGCTGGCCTGGCAGCCTGGTGTAGATTTTGAAATTGGTTTTGAGTCAAACACCTTTCTTTTTTAGGTTTTGGAAAAAAAAACCCTTTTGTTTTATTGTATTTCTGGTTGTTAGGAGCTATTGGCACAGCTGGTATATGCAGGGCCCCAAACCACTAAGATTGTCCTTCTGTTGTTGTTTAAGTGGTTTAACTCAAGTTAGCCACATTTCTTTCCTCTTGGAAACAGTCTTCCACTAATCCTATGAGTTCATATTTTCAGAATGTGACCTATAATAATGAATGAAGTTTGTCAAAACTGTGACCCAGCCAGCTAGATTTGAGGACTTCTGGTGGCTCTTTGTTTTCACTGACTGAATCAGATAATGAGTTACATATGCCCAAGACTGGTATCAGTGAAGACAGGAGCAATAGCATTTGCTATCGCTGTTACTACCAATGCCAGGAATGGATAGATTTTAAATTTGGATGGTAACCGTTTCCCATTTTTCATAGGTGCCAACATTTCAAAACTTCATACTGCTTATAAGGTGATTTTTCTGGCTTATTTCTTCTTTAATCTCTCAGTGCTCAGAGATGATGAAGAAATAATTTTGACACCACAAAAGAGATTTATTTAAAAAAACATACCTTTATTAGAATATTAGAGAATAAAAGATAACATTATCCAGTGACAGGAATTTGGGAGATAATTATAGTTTAGTACTAGAGATGTTAAAAGCTGCATATACTTGAACAGTACAAAAGCATTAAAGATTCATTTCCAAAGAAATGTTTTATATAGGAAAATTTTGAAGTAGTTTTTGCTAAAACTATTTTCTAGAGTTTGTATTATCCTTCTGTCAATAAACCTGGCTGGATATGTTTTTGTGATTTATGCAATTAGATCATAAAGATAAAACCATTCAATACACACTTATCCAACACAGCTAAGTAGGAGAAGCTAGACTTTTAAAATTTTATTCTGTAAGATTCTTGAGTGTTTTAGAAACCCTTATTTTTCACCATTAGTCCTTTACTTACGAACTTCATTATTTTTTTTTTTTAAGTGAAAAGTTCTGTGTTGTTTTTAAAATCTGAAATAGTAGATTTTAGATATGAATATCTTTCTATCAGTTTTTGGTCACTAGACTATTTCATATTTTTTGAGAAGTTTTTGAAAGCTATGACCAGCCCATTATGTTTCTCCTTTATTCAATATGGTTGTCCTTCAGAAGAACACATAAAGGTGTGAATAAGATAAAAATATCCTTACCTTATTAATATTGTGCGTACTTGAAAAAAGTTTCATTAGAAACATAGTTCAGAATCTGAGCTAATTTACAAATGACCTCTGTAATGAATGGTATTGATGATCAGAGGATGTATTTCAAAATACTACAGTGTATTATAAAGCATGACCACTTTGTTTTCAAACTTAGCAATTGCATTGCTGTGTTCATTGTATTCTAGCATGTCACTAATTATTCCAGTTAATTTTATAATGATTTTTTAAAATATATCTCTTTTGAATAAATAAATGGAATAATTATTACTAACTTGTTCAATCCCTGAGCCACACTATACTCGACAGGTAACCAACATACAGTGGATTGCCCCATGCAGTATATTACTGTTATGTCATGATTGGCTTTGGAAGCAATTTGATACTGGAATGCTTTGATATTCTAATTGACATGGAACAAGTTTTATTCCTGCTCCCCAAGTAGAATTTTGTAATCCATTTTGCTATTTTTTTAAACATTTTGTAAAAATGAGTCATTTCTTGAGGAGTGGCCATCCATCAACAAATACCCTAACTGCTACTTTGTTATATATAAAATAGTTTTCACTGAACCTAGTGGTATAATGAGTATTCTGAAAGAAGAAATACTTTTCAATATTATTTTTATTATGGAAATCTTGAAATCAGCTTAAGCTAATTTGGTTTTTTTACAAAAGATTATATAGCTTTTGGTCAGAATGATATTTGGTGATGGAAATTTATTCATAATTTATTGTTACTGTTGAAATATTTGAATTTTGTCATTTGAAGCTTAAACAGTTAAATATTTCTATTTGTTCTGTGCCTTCAGTTTAAATTATTTCAGGATTTTCCAGATATGTTTAAATAATGGTGTGATGATCATTTTTGATGGAAATAAAAGTCATCATTTCCATAATAGCAGCATTGTATCTTTTCTGTAATAGCAGATGTTAACTCAATGTGTGATCCTTATTTTTGTTTGTGCACCATTGTTGTCATTATAATATCCCAAGCTTAAACCTCAGGAACACAAATCCATCTTCTAGTTCTCATTCCTCTAGGCATATGATCCCTAGTGACTTGCTTGTGCCAGTACCTCTAGACAGGTGGCTACTGAGTGCCTGAAATGCGACCAGTACTACATATTGAAATGATAATACCTTGGATGTATGGATTATATAAAATATACTAGAGGCCCAGTGCACAAAATTCGTGCACTGGTAGGGTCCCTAGCGGCTGCCGGCTGGGTGCTCCCTCCCTTCCCCCATCCACCTGCCAACACCAGGGCCTCCCTCCCTTCCCCTGGCCTGCCCACCCGCTGGTCGAACTCCCGGATGAACTCCAGTCAAGGGGACAATTTGCATACTATGCTTTTATTATATAGGATTATTAAAATTAATTTCACCCATTTATTTTTACATTTTTTAAATATAATTGATTTTTACAGAGAGGAAGGGAGAGGGATAGAGAGTTAGAAACATCAATGAGAGAGAAGCATCGATTAGCTGCCTCCTGCACAACCCCCACTGGGGATCAAGCCTGCAACCAAGATACATGACCTTGACCAGAATCGAACCCAGGGCCCTTCAGTCCGTGGGCCGATGCTCTATCCACTGAGCCAAACCAGCTAGGGCTATTTTTACATTTTTTTAAAATGTGGTTACCAGAAAAGTTTGAATTACATATGTGGCTCACCTTGTATTTCTATTGGACAGAAGCCATGGTCTCCTCACCTTTACATTGTCACAGCACTTATAAGGCCAGGCTGCCCTGACATGGTTTCTATTTTTCTGGAGCTTTGATCATTCCCTGCATAAAAAAAAAAAAAAAAAAAAAAAAAAAAAAAAAATTTAATGAAAAGAAACTTGACGCTGGTTTTCTAATAAATTAAGTTCAAACCAAGGCCACTGTGTCTGACCCCTAATCTGGTTTTTCAGATGACTCTGCAGTCCTGTTTACCCCTCGGTACTCCATCAGGCGTCCCCTGCCCTCAGTGCTGCCCCCATACACAGGCTTACAGAGTTCCCTCTACCGCTTCCCTGCAGTGCTCTCCCTTCTGTGTATCTCACATGGCCCTGTATCTGGAGGCATAGCTTGAACACAACTGAATCTTGCTTCCTCTTACCTCCACTTCCACTTTCAAGAGAATTACCCTCCTTGTGATGGAACCTCAGCCAGCCTTCATATTTGTATGTTTTATGGCTCTGACCACTTTCTACCTAATGACTGTCAGTTTTAAGTATCATCTTTGATAGCCATCTTGTAATTTTGAATACCATTGGTGCCCTAAGTCTTAGCTCCCACAGTCTGTAGTATGAATGTCCTATTGCTTTAAGGTACACCATCTCAGTCCTCCAAACTAAAACAGTATCCCAAGCATTAGCCTACTTTCCCTCCCTCCCTCCCTCCCTCCCTCCCCCCCTCCCTCCCTTCCTTCCTTCCTTTCTTCTTTCTTTCTCACCCAAGCATATGTTTATTGATTTTAGAGAGAGAGGAAAGGAGAGAGAGAGAAACATCAATCAGTTGCCTCTCACATGCACCCCGATCAGGATTGAACCCGCCACCTTTTTTGGTGCACAGGATGATGCTCCAACCAACTTAACCACCCAGTCAGGGCCACTCCATATTCAATATGAACTCCTATCAGAGAAACTTTCTAAACACTAATTTTGACCATCATTCTGATCATATCCTTGGCCTGTTTAATATTTGTCAATGGTTCTCTGCTGTGTGGGAGGAGGTCAGAAGGGCATGGCACAGCATGAAAGTCTCTTCAAAATGTGGCCCCTGCCTATTCTTCAACTGTACTTTCCACCCTTCCTTGCTTCAGATCTAAAACACCACCCACACCCTCACATCCTTGCCCTCCTGTGTCCACAGGAGCTAACTTGGCTCAAGTGACATTGCCTCTTTTAAGAAATCTTGGAGAACCAAGATGACAGCATTGGTAAACACCTATACTTGCTGCCTCTCACAACCACATCAAAATTACAACTAAAAGGCAGAACAACTACCACCCAGAACCACAGGAAAGCTGACTGAGTGGAAGTTCCACAACTAGAGAGGTGAAGAAAGCACATTGAGACTGGTAAGAGGGTCGAGGCACAGAAAGTGCTGGCACCTGGATGTGCTGCTCTTTTAATCGGGAGGGAGATACAAGCTCCCGCTTGCTCTGAACTCCAGTTATGGATGAGACTCTGGGGACCCGGACTCACACAGGGAGAAACTGGACTGTCTGACATCGGGACAGGAATGCGAGGGCAGCTTTCTCTCAGAGATGCTCGCAGCGGTCATTGTTCCTGCGCGGGGGCGCGGGACACAGAGACCTGGGGACCTCTCCTGTACAGGGCTGACTGGCAGCCATTGCTGTTTGCTCCACCCTGGTGATTCCCTGAGACCCTGCCCCACCAAATTTACAACCCCACCCAAGCTGTGCACATCAGCTTTTGCATATGACTGGCCTGTCCTTTCTCTGCCTAAAACCTGTCAAACTGTAGCTGGGTCAGAGAACTCCAGAGCTTCCAAAAGAAGGCCCAAGGCCCGGTAGCAGCAGCCTGCCTTGCTTCACAGCTGGGCCTCATCTGGGCACTTCCAAACCTCATACAAAGAGGAGGAATCTGCAGATTTCTCTGTAGCTCCTGCTGGGCGACCCCAGACAGTGGCAGACCTTGCACCTCCTTGGAGATCCAACAGCCAGTGTACCCAGTGGTCAGAGTGAGACCATCCAGATTACAACTCTTCACATCCATAAGTGACACACTCAAGGGGCAGACTCAGTGAGCACCAAAGCCCCACTGAAGCAAGTCCTGCCCCATAAGGTTGTCTCCTATGCAACAGATCTTCCAGTGTAGACACAGCTCGTCATCACAGCCAATTGGCCTGGAGGTCAATTCCTCCCAGTGATACCAACAGCAATCAAGGCTCAACTACAACAAGACTGTGCACACAGCCCACAAAGGGGGTGCATCAAGAACATCCACCTCAGGTGACTGAGGAGGCTGAGCCACTGGGCCCTATAGGACACCTACCACACAAGGCCACTCTATCAACTCAAGGAGACTTAGCAGCTACCCAGTACATAGAAACAAACACAGGGAAGCAGCCAAAATTCAGAGACAAAGAAACAAGTCACAGATGAAAGAAATGGATGAAAGCAAAATACTGGATATAGAGTTCAAAACCACAGTTATAAGGTTACTCAAGAATCTTCTAGAAACCTCCAAGGAACTTAGTGAGACCCTCAAGGATATGAAAAAAGACCAATCAGAAGTTAAGTATACACTGACTGAAATAAAGAATAATATACAGAGATTCAACAGCAAACTAGAGGATCCCAAGAATCAAGGCAAAAATTTGAAATACGAAGAAGCAAAAAACACCCAACCAGAAAAGAAAAAAGAATCCAAAAATATGAAGATAGTGTAAGGAACCTCTGGGACAGCTTCAAGCGTACCAACATCCGAATTATTGAGGGTACCAGAAGAAGAGAGAAAGCAAGATATTGAAAACCTATTTGAAGAAATAATGACAGAAAACTTCCCCTACCTGGTGAAAGAAATAGACTTACAAGTCCAGGAAGCACAGAGAACCCCAAACAAAAGGAATCCAAAGAGGACCACACCAAGACACGTCATAATTAAAATGCCAATGGCAAAAAACAAAGAGAGAATCTTAAAAGCAGCAAGAGAAAAAGTTAGTTACATACAAGGGAATACCCATATGACTG